CGAAAGGAGCGCTCTGCTCTAGTATGTGTATAATGTGAGATAATGCTTGTGGAAGATACCAGCAAACACAGATGATAGAAAGGAATGTCAAAACTTCCTACCATCTTTGCATATTCATGCACATTTGTGTATGTGTGATAGTAAAGAGCATTAAATTCGTATGTACTATGAAATAACTATTTCAGTGTATGCAATGATAACTCAAAGGCCAAAGGCTTACTTAACATTTTCAATACTGCTTGGATAAATTCCTACAACAGATTTACCCCAACAGATACAATTTGCCAAATTCTGTTCTCTCGTAATTTTTCTTCGCTTACTGATACACTGAACTCTATTTTTTTTTATTTTACCACTATGTTGGGAAATAATTCCTGATTCCTTGCGAGCTTTCATGTCGTACAAATGAATTGTTTCATCTGCACCGCCTGATGCCAGAAATTTACCACTAGCGCACACACTGCGAATACTTGCTCGATGAGAATGGTCAGCAAAACTCTGAATCAAACGGCAGTCCTGAAAGGGGGGAAAAGCATTACTACTGCTACTAATGACATCCTTAACCTTTTCTCCCACACCTTCGTTCATGTCGAGCTTTCGGACTTACGGAATTTTCTTCTTTAACAACTTTATATCCCAACAAAAACTCCTCGTACGTTCCAACAATTATTTCTATGTTTGCAGTAGTCATTTTACTTTCCTAGGGTATAAATAAACAACTACAAAGTAACACACGAAAATAAGGTACACGACCTTATGTCGAATTCCCAAGATTCCAGTTCATCTATATGAAATACAGGAATGTTGATTATAACGGAAGAGTATATATTTGAAGCACTTTTCATTAACTGTGATTATACATATTTCACTATTGTGGTCGTTAAGCTTATCTGGGCGTGAAGAGAAGTGAAAATACACCAACTATAAACATAAATAAAGAGTTTTCTTGAGGTTATATATGGTTGGTACATATGTACGGACCACAGAAAACCGTCAAAGACAATACACACTGGCCAGTATACTGAACTCGAATATAATCTGGAATAACTGCACCGGAAGTTTACTATTCAATGTTCGGTAAGCTTTCACCTTCTCACGGCAAGGAGTATGAAGTTTACTGAAGTTTCATACCCTCATGACGGAGGCAGTAAGCACCGGTGAAACGTCGGTAAACTTCTACCACACTACACACAGTAACATCCTCGTAGATTAACATACATAGTATGAGTATGTATGTGAGGCAGAGGGAACAGATGAGGTGGTAGGGAAGACAACGATATTTGGTTATGTAGAAAAACTATCGGGGAAAAGACAAATTAAAAAATAAAGTATTCTTTCAAACAGTTAAATACTTCAAAATGTAATAAAGTTTTAAATAAATATATACGTAAAATGGACTTCACCAAAATACTGTTCAAAATCAGCAATGTCCAGTTTTCTGTTAATATTTATCTTTTATGGAAAGGCCAATTCTGGCTTGATCTTCTGCAGACCCAATAATTCTTGGCAATGTTTCTGCCTTCCCCCCAAAAAACAAACACATACCAATAACTATGTGCACATGCCCACGTAAACAAACACTTGTGAGTAGATTCCATTATACATGCCCCAAAGAAAATACTGAAGAACAGATGGGTAGGGTGCAGAAGCACAGAATAAATTGGAAACACAGACAGTACCTACTGTTTTAATTAGAACCATCAACCAACCAAGTTACAGCTGCATGAAGCACACATACTTTTGTAACAAAAATACAGACAGTGAAATTCATGGAACCAACCACTCAGCTGCATCTAGCACTAAGGTTTAGAATATGTGTAGTCTTACTTCCACACCACCCATGTCCCTTCATGATGTTCTTATACATATAGAGCAAGTTTATAGTCACCGTTTACATTTGTGATCATTGTATTATGCATTATAACATTTGGATTTCAGAAATGTAGAAATTAATTTTTAAGTTTATAGTGGTATTTGACACAGATAATATCGATTAAGGAAGTTTTAAGAGAAAAGAAGCATAAAGGTCTCCCAACTTACAATTATATATAGTAAATAAGGTATGATTTCAAAAACTGTATGCCACAGTGTGGTAAATAGATAATAAAATATCTAATATCCTACATGACAAAATACATTAAAAATACACATGTCCATGGAATTAGCATTCCATATGTTAAGTGTTCATTAGTGTAGATTATTATTATGCCAAGGCTGCTTAAGAACATTAACAGCCATATGTTTATAAGACTGAAGGTCTATTAGCCTGCACCTGCTTTAATACTGCAGCAAGAACACAAATAAGAGAAGTCAATCTTCTGACCAGAACATATAGCTTCACTAAAGTATGGGAGAATATTGTGTAATGTGACTTGAGTAAATTTATCTGAGCTCACAGTACAGATATCTTACTTTATCACAAACACATCACGTTTTATCAAGATGTAACCACATAAAATCTATTTTATCAAGAGAACAGACAAGATAATCTTTTGCAGGCCTTTTTGTGTGGTAAGTGAATAAAAATTCAAAACTTAAAATACTTCATATAAAATTAATGTGAAGGAGATGGGGAATAACACACAGGACATGGAGAATATCAAAGACAGATCAGAGTATTAAGAAATAATTTTATTCCAATACATAAAACATCCTAAAATAGATAATTTCGATGTTTGTTTTGACAAAATTTTAAATGCAAGAAAATATCCATGATCTTCATGCCTTCAAAGTACAAGTAATGTGCATTTTCAGATAGTACTAGATGTGGTCAACACTACAAAACATGTTTTTGTGGTAGAATAAACCATTCTGCATTAAATTTGGAAGGACAGCTAGAAGTGTCTCAGAGCCATCCTGAATACAGTCATGAATACTATACACTCTGAAAAGTTAAAAATAAATAATATTTCAACAGGGCAATGTTAACATTGTAGGGAATACTATGTATCGAGATACAGGACTCAAAATCAGAACACTCCATGTACGGGACATCCGCTTTCCCACATCACTAGGGTCACATGGATCAGATGCAATGGTAAGTGAACATCTTCAAATTACAGACTGTTGAGCCTAAGTTAGCACCTTTATAGCTGGTCAGTTGAACATATATATTTTGCTTGGCCATTACACTGTCTTATGTTAAAAATTTTACTGCTTTATCTACTGGGTCTCACAGGATAGTGGATGTAAGTCTTCTTAATTTTTAATGGCCTCACTGAATACTTATTTTATCTGATAGCCACCACAGAGAAGACAAATCACCTGAAGACAGAGACACAGCCAGTCTCCAAAATGTAATGGATAATGGAATTTTTAATTTTATAAATCCGCTAATAAAGACTAGCTTTATCTGATGTAGCCCCAGAGAGTAGGTACCTTCATATCTGAAGACAGGGACAAAGCCAGTCTACAGTTTAAAATCTATATTTTTTAGCTTTAAATTAAAATATCTATTTATTCATCAATAAAATATGTGATTCATGATGTTCACAATGGAAGAGGCATATTAACATACCTTCATATGAAAATGATAAGTACCCTAAACAGTGCAGGTCAGATAAATTAAATCACTATAATCCATGTGTTAAATTTAATCACTTTGCACTGACTTTTTAACACATTGGCAGCATGTGGACTGCAACTATTCCTGCACATATGTCATTATCTATACAGAAGGAGATGTGGAGGGCCATGGCTTGACTTTCACCATTGGTCATGGGAATGAAATAGGTAAGTGGAGAAAGCTATATTAACCCACAGAGTCACATGAGAAGTGTCAGAAAGGGTATGTCCTCTCTTTATAATTAATGCCTAAAGCAGGGCTGGTTGAAGCATTATATCATCCCGCTTGCTATCAGATCTCAAAACAATATGCACTAAAAAATATACTTTACTTCCAACTTGCAACACTGTGGATGGAAAACAAAGTGCAATGTAGTCACATAATCTTGTGTAATTATATTGGAAATTACTAACATATATAAAGGAAATTATAACAATAGCCAGTTTCATAATATGAAAAAACAGGTTTTAATATAACTTAATTTATTGCATTATTTCATTACACATTAATAGAAACCTCCCCCACTGGAAGCATAAGTTGTTACTGAGATTAAAACTATAGGTATCTACCAAAATATTGCATTATATATCATATTATAATGTATTTGACAGTTTAATATATTTTATTCAGTTGTTGCTGCTGTTAAATCACTGTCACCACTTGTAGTTGGTCAAGATGCAGACCAAATTTTCAATGACTTCGCTTGCTTCTGGAGGAAACTTACCAGTGATTCACAGTTGCGATGGGTAAGGCAGAATTTAATTCTCATTGTATAAATGTAATCAGAAACTTTAATTGTATTATGCAGTAGAAATATAATCACTAATTACTTTAATAGAAACTAAAGATATAAAGAGATAGTAAAGGAACTCTATTCTGCATAGAAACTAGAATTTTTGTTGCGTGAGCCTACTGTAATTCTACATTGTGCTAATTCCTCTTTTGGAGGTCAGAGTTGAAGTTCAGTGGATTTCAAAATTCAATATTTCAATCTACAAAAATTCTGTGAAGTTTACACCCTATCAGGAATATCTCCAAATAATCTACACCTTTTAAGCCATCTTGAAGTTGTACTGACATCAACAAACACAACCTGTTTATAACTTTACTGGAATGAAGTCAGAAAAGGGGCAATTTTTGTACTACTTCATGAAACCATAGCCATCGAAATGTCCACATTAACATTATTTCTTGTATTTTCATTTCGCTTTAATTGCAAATACATTATTTGAAGTGAAATTAAACATAATAGAGAATAACATAAAACTGCTTGTCTTTATTTGATATAACACTTTTGGACATTTTAACTGTTTGACACTGAGTAAAGTGTTTCATTCCTGTACATATAATCAAATTTTTATCTTACCTAAAAATTTAAATTTATACAAAATAAATATTTATTTTTTATTTTTTGAACTCTTTTCAACAAAATATTTATGTTACAGTACTTTATTTATTTGGTGAAACAATTCAGTCCATCGAGCAGAGTGTGCTTTTCTGCTTGTTGAATCTGTTTCATCCATAGCAATGAAAGTATGAAAGATGTAGCATAAATGAATCTGGAATATTCTCAGAACATTTATCAAAACACTTTGCTCAGAGTGAATACCGTAAGTCTGATCAGGGACTGAAGCCAGGCCCAGTTACTAGGCTACTAAGAATACTTCCTTGTGCCAGACATAAGAATAATTGCAGTAAGGGGACAAGGGCGTTTACTATAAGTGATGAGTTATTTAAATATTCAACATTTCTTGACATACCCAGATAGGTCCTGAGAAAGGGGTCATTCATTTGGCCACAGCAGCTATTATAAATGCCCTGTGGGATCTGTGGGCCAATTTGCAACAAAAACCTTTATGGAAGCTCTTGGTGGACATGGAACCTGAGAAATTAGTTTCCACAATTGACTTCAGATATATGTAAGTGAGCAATGATCCATAATATTTACCTGCCTACCTCTACTTGAATTTCTCTTCATAATTTTATTTTGTAACCAGCTCTTGTCTGACATGAGTAAGATTGGGTATATTAGAGGAAACTGAAGTTCATGAAGTTTCTGGAACTCCTTTCAAATTTTCCTTCTAGTGTGTGGATTTCAGCCCTAGATCTTCCAAAAAGCCCTTTTTAGTCTGTTTGAATGAATACACACAAGGTAATGAAATACATCTTTCAGTTTTATAGAATTAGTACATACAGAGAATCAAAAATGCATTCAAAGTTTTTGTTAAAAACTTATGGGAAGAGACCAGGTGATACTATATTAACATTAAAATGGAATTTAAGGAAACAAGTTAAATCTTCTCTTATTAACAGGCAAAATTTTGTGTATACTACTTGAGGAATTTTAATTACATCATATCAGACACAACTATGATACTACAAAATGAAAACTTTTGACACAGATGTAATAAGCTATATTGGATTTTACTTCAGTTCAGATGTGGTAACAAAAGAGGAAGCTGTTGCAATGTTAAAGGCAATGGAGACTGGCAAAGAAGAACGGGAGGAACAGATGAAAAGAGTTGGATATCCAGCCTATACAACACAAGCTGGTAATTACAACCTTCTATGAAAATATAACAGTATAGCTCTCTTAATTCTGAATTTGTTTGATTAATCAAATCCATTCTACTAATTTATAAATATCCATATTTCACACAATTTTATCGAATATTCTTCTGGCATGGTTAACACCATTTATGAATGAAACTATTGGGGACAATCAATGTGGATTTCGCTGTAATAGGTCAACTACTGATCAGATCTTTTGCATTCAACAAATATTGGAGAACAAGTGGGAGTATAATGGGTCAGTACACCAACTATTTGTGGACTTTATTGAAGGCACTGTATGGAATTTTGATTTAGTTTGGAATACCAAAGAAATTTGTTAGGTTAATTAAGATGTGTATGGACAGGTTATCTAGTAAGAGTTTGTATAGGTAACCTTCTGTCAAATCCATTCCCAGTGCACAATGGCCTAAAACAGGGGAATGCATTTTCCCCAATGCTTTTTAATTTTATTCTCAAACATGTCTTCAGGAAGGGTTTGAATTGAATGATCTGCAACAGGTACTTGCCTATGCTGATGATGTCAATTTGCTGGGGGATGGTATGGGTACCATAACCAAAAATACAGGAACTACAGGCTAGCAAAGAAATAGACCTAGAAATAAATGCAGACAAAATTAAACACATGGGCATAATACAAACCCAACATCAGCAACAATGGTGGAAAAGTAACACAACATTTGAAAATGTTTCAAAATTTAAGAAGTGGGAAAAAACAATAACAAGTAGAAATTAGGTCCATGATAAAATTAAGATTAGAATACATTCGGGAAACGCTTGTTTTTATTCAATTCAAAAACTGTTATCATCTCGTTTGCTATCCAAAACACCAAAGATCAGGATATATAAAACAACAATTTGGCCTGTTGTCTTGTATGGTTGTGAAACATGATCTCTTACCTTGAAGGAGGAACGTGGATTACAAGTGTTTGAAAACAAGGTGCTCAGGAAGATATTTGGACCGAGTAAGAATGAAATAAGTAGGGAATTTAGAATACTACATAATGGGATGTGTGGATTGCACAGGTCACCTAGCATAATGAGGACAGTGAAATCTAGGAGGCTCCGATGGGCTGGATATGTAGAATGCAAGGGGTCCATACAAAGTTTTGTTGGGAAGATAATATCAAGATGGATCTTAGGGAGGTAGGCTGTGAGGATGGTAAATGGATGGAGTTAGCTCAGGATTGAGTCCGGTGGCAGGCTTTGGTGTTGTACCTGCGGGTTCAGCTACCAGGCAGTTAGTCCACATATCTGAGCATCACATTTCATGTCTCATAATTGATGTGGTCAAGATAAAACAAAAGAACAAAAATGTTTCTTTTGAGCATATTCCAGGAAACACAGCAGAACTATAAATTTCCAAACTTCAACACAGTTACTTTGGATTCCAAGTATGGGTTGCTGAAAAATCTAAATGAAACTTCTTTAATTCATATTTGATGGGAAAATCAGTCACATGACACAACATAACATTCACATGTATATTGAAATACTGATAGTATGACTTGTTTATACAAAGCATACAGAATCCAAATATTTATGAAAGACAGCAACATATCAAAATTACATTAATGATGAACACATAGGCAAAGGATGTAGGATGATATAGAACAGGATACACGTGTGAACTGGATTCGCATGGCTCAGGACAGAGTGAAGTGGCAGGATGATGTGACCACAGTAGTAAACCTTTGAGTTCCACAAAATACAGGAATATCTTGACTAAGTGAGTTAGTATTAGTTTCTCAACAAGAACTCTGCTCCATAGAGTGTGTTAGGTATACAATAGCCATCATGCCAGTTCCAAGCTTTTCAAAGAGCCATCTGTGTTTAATTTATTTGAAAACAATCCAGTCAAGTAAGCTCCCAAAACAATCAATTTAAAGTATGCTATCTTCTTCTTGTACAGGATGGCTGGGTTACTCAAATGAGCATGTGAAAACTTTGTGTTCTCAATATCTTGCCAATGGCTTTACAGCCTTTAAAGTGAAGGTAGGTCAAAATCTGGAAGATGATCGTCGTCGATGTACAATGGTGCGAAAAATCATTGGCTGGGACAATAAACTGGTATGCTCAACTACACCATATCTTACAATATTTATCAGTCTTTGTAATTATTCACTTACATGAGTATAAATATAGTCAGTAAGCTTAATGCTTAATTTAAATGCAATAAAAGACTGTTTCAAATACTCCATGCTGATATAGAACTGAAACTTGCATGTACAAGGCAGTAAGTAAATATGGCTCTACACCACACATTTTAATGTCTGAAGGAAATTAAGATTGTTTTCACAGAGTAATCATTAGACATTAACACACTACCGTAGCAAGAAATCATGAAACAATGGTATTTAGCTCACAGCTGAAAAGAAACTGTAAAAATTTATGGACTTCCTATACTTCACTAGCATTTAGAGTATAAAGATGAAGAACACAATCTATTAACTGTCACACATTTTAAAATCTGTTTCTTCTGCATTATGGTCTTTGTACTGATAGCTGATATAAGATTGAAATTGTGGACAGATGGTAGATGCAAACCAGGTGTGGGACATCGAACAAGCCATTGAATGGATGAAGCAGTTGGCAGAATTTAAGCCATTATGGATAGAAGAGCCAACCTCTCCTGATGATATTTTGGGACATGCTACTATCTCTAAGGTATACCCAGGAAATGTGTGAAGGCAGTGATCAATAAGAAAAAAATAAACTATAAAGATGTAATGCAGGCATTTATTTGATGCTGGTTTTTCCCCCTGCAATGATGTAAATAAAGCTGTCCAGTGTCCCTAAGCATAATTTCTTGAAGATGTATACAGGGATGGATGTAAAACTTAATATATTCTATACCTTGGCACTAAGAGGATATGAGTGGTCAGCTTCAAGCTCCAGCTGCCTTAAACCCAGCGAAAGAACCAAGAGGCTTACTCAAAAAATATCAAGACTGAATATGCGAAAAGTAAGATGCTCAACATACAGGGATGGGAGATTAATGTCCCTCAGAGTAGAGTCCATCAGCATGTACACACTTGTTCCACCAT